ACCTGCTGCGCTGAAGATACCGCTACGGAGAGAGAGAGAGAGAGAGAGATGAGCGATACAAGATTGGCTGTTACGTACCTGTGAAGTTGCTGCGCAGACCCACGAAGGAGGAAGAACGCGGCCATAGCCGCGGAGCTGCATCACGGTGTGACGAAGGGGACAGAGAAGGAGGGACCGAGGAGAGAGATAGAGGAAGGGGTATTGGAGAAGAAGACAGACATAGCCGAGGTGACAAAAAAAATAAAATAATAATAATAATATAGAGAGAAGAAGAAAGACAGCGAGGAAGAAGAAGGTAAAGGAAGGGGAAGGAAGAGACGAGGGCGACGAAGGTGAAGGTGCCGGCAGCCATAGCCAAGTTGGAGGGTTGACCGAGCGTTGACCAGAGGGTTGACCAGGCGTTGATCGGAGGGTTGACTGGGGGTTGACCAGAGGGTTGACCAGGCGTTGACCGGAGGGTTGACTGGGGGTTGACCAGAGGGTTGACCGAGCGTTGACCAAGGCGTTGACCGGAGCTGCTGACCAAGGTTTTGACCAAGCTGGAGTTGGTGATATTTCGCTGAGCCCTTAGCCTATCCCTTACCCTGTGGATGTGCACTCACCCTACGGTACTTGCTGAGTCTGAGTCTGTCTGTCTCTTCTTTCTGCATCGAGTCTCTTTTGTCCTAGGTGCTAGCGCTCTATGGATGAAGGATAGGCTTGGATGACGAAACCCTGAGCTGATCTTATAGGGCTGATACTGTGGCTGATCCAACTTTCCAGGGGGGCCTAACCCTCCCAAGGACCGGTGCTGACCGGCCGGAAACGGTTGGTAGGACTCAGTGGGTCTGAACGGCAGCCAGGGCTGACACACCAGGCAGTCCTTAAGTGTTGGGGGCCTGTTTGAACCACCCCCCTACCAGACCCAGTAAGGCTGATGATCTGTGTCTGATGACTCGACTGTCTCGGGGGATGCAAACCCTCCCAAGGACCGGTACAGACCGGCGGGCTGCTCGGTGTGGCACAGTAGGTCGGAAAGGCCGAGTTGTGGGTTGAAAGCTCAGGCAAGAACCACGCTGATCACGTCGTCCTGACTGCGACGTTAAAGAATTTTTGAGGAGTTACGGGGGATCTCCTTAAATGCCTCCTGATCAGCTGTTGGTTCAGTAGTGACAGCCTTAGAGTAGGTCTGGGATAGTGACCATAGTTGACAGGGTTCTACCCTGTGGTCCCTAGAGAGTCAGTCAGTGTGTCAGTGTCCGAGTAGGTCTAAGTGGTGAGGAGTGGGACTCCTTGTCGTGCACCTGACTCCACTATGGATGACTATCCGATGTACGGGTTACTTGTCGGGCTCCCCTTGTGGGGGACCCTCTGGCGTCTCCTCTTCCCCCTGGGATTCTGGCCCACGCTCACGTGTAGAGTAGGCACCCGGGGCGCCACCTCCACTACACCTTACACGAAGGAGGAGGAGGAGAAGATGGCCGCCATCCTGCAAGAGAGAAAAGAGAAGGAGGCCAAGAAGAAGGCCCTGCAGGAGGAGCAGACAGCAAAGTTGAGAAAGAGAGAGGAGGAGATGGCCAGAGAAAAAAAGAGGTTGAAGAAGGAAGAAGAGGAGCAGTTGAAGGAAGTGGAAGAGGAAGAAGAAGATGAGGTGCCACTGCAAAGGAGGAGAGGGAAGCACAGTGGCAGCAAGGATGAAGAGATGGAGAAACGGATTTCGGAGTGGGTCGCCAACTTATCCCTGGGCGAAGACGAAGAGGTAACTATGTACGTCCCCAAGGATGAGCAGGAAGCCGCTATGAAAAAAGGGGAAGCAGAAGAAGATGTCCTGAAGCGGCAGGCGATGGAAGACGAAATGAGGATGGAGTGGAAACTCGCAATGATGAGGGAGAAGAAAAGAAGAGTGGACGCGGCGAGCGAAGCGGTTAAGGATTTGGAGGAGGTGCAAAAACTGACTCTACGATTGACCGCTCAGACCTCCAACAAAAGGTAGAGATCATCGCCCAGAGTGTCGAGCGTCTAGCCAAGGTGCAAGAACAACAATATGAGTTTAGTCGAAGCCAAGATATAGCTGTGCATTCGATGCGGATGGGATTTCGGGACTTTGCCCGCGAGCTGGTAGGTGCTGTAGGAGCCGAGGTGAATCATCGCCTCGAGAAGACTGAGCGCTTTTGTGTAGGCGCCATCGAGGGCGTCAAGGTGGCAGCTCCCAAGGCGGAAGAAGTGCATCCTCGTAGGGAGCCGGTCAAAGTCAAATTCCCTGATTCCTACAGTGGAAAAAGGGAAGAGAACTTTGACAACTGGGAGGCCAACGTCAAGACCTATGTGCATTTGCAACAGGTCTCCCCAGATCAGCACGTATTGATTGTGATTCATGCGCTTAGAGACGAGGCCGCCAGTTTCGCAAGGTCCCTAGTCCGCGCGGCCAACTGTAACAATGATGCAGTGGCCTACTCGTCATTCACTCCCCTCGTTGACTTCATGAAATTGCTGCGCGAGCGATTCGCTGATGTCGTTCGCAGTGTCAAGGCCTCAGATAAGCTCCAAACCATCCATGCTCGTAAATGGAAGAGTGTCAGGGTGCTCAAGGGCACGATGGATGAGTTAGTGGCTGTCCCTGACCATGGAGTCACGAAGGCCCAATTGGTCGGCCTCTTCTATCGGGCTATGCCCGAAGCCTTTCGAGGGCAGTTCTTCGCGAAAAGCGAAGATCCTGCCACCACTTATGATTCCCGTAGCCGTGAAGTGGTGGCTTTCGAAGCGAAATCGGTGTCGCTCTCTACCTTCTGGCACAAAGACCTCGACAAAGGAAAACAATGGAAGGGTCGCACGATCTCAGGGCAAGTTAAGACTAAGGATAGTCTTGTCCTGACCTTAGACGAAGGTAGCGTCGACGAGATCCCCTATGAACAGATTGAATGGGGGTTAGAGGACGAGGACAGCGGTGCGAGTCAGGGGAGAACTTACGCTGCTGTCGCGGCTGGAGGGAGGCCGCAAGGAGGAGGACGAGGCCAGGGCCAGGGGGGTCGGGCCTCAGGGAGCTGGTTTCAGGGCGATCAGGGGGTTGGCGACAGAGGAGGAAACCGCCAAGCGGGAGGAAGGGGTCAAGGTCCCCCGCAAAACCGTCCTAGGAACATGTCTCCCTATAGGGTAGGTGGATGGCACCCAGGGCTACCTCAGGGTAGGCCTTGGGAAAGTTTTGGGTCTGGACCAGAGCTTATGGCAACAACGTTTGGACCGGGGCCAGTGCATTTTCTGCGGTGATCCGGGCCGTATCATTAAATACTGTCCTAAGTATAGAGAGACCTGGACGGCTGCTCAAGGGCCAAAAGGCAGCCGCCGGTACGGGTGGCAACTGCCCCTACCACAAGGCCATGTGGGGAACATAGCGCTAGCCGGCACGAGACTCCCACACCACATGTGCCTATGGCAGAGGTTGCAGGCCGGTGTCTAGATAGCTGTCCAGAGACTACTTGTGTCAGAGTCTCTTTAGACACCTCCCTCACAGGCGTGGCTGAAGAATTGAAGGAGAGAATGCCCGCCTGGGCCAAGATGAAAAAGGAACAGAAGGGGCAGTTAATATTGGTAGATGTAGAGATTTTTAGAGGTAGAGTAGGGGCCCTAGTAGATTCAGGGGCCACCCGCAGCTATATCAGTAAGAAAGCGCTGCAGAAGTTGAAGCTGGGATTAAAGTCCAAAAATTAGCAGACCCCATAGTTAGTATCCTCGCTGACAACCGTACAATGGTTGTAGAGGAATATGTAGAGGGAGTCCAGGCGTATTTCCGCCTAGAGATAGATGGGAAAGTGTAGAAGGTCCTCCACTCCCTGACTCTCCTCGTAGAAGACAGCCTCCCATTCGATATTGTCCTGGGAATGGATTGGGGAGAGGCAGTTGGGGCCACACTCCATTTGAAAGAGCACGAGTGTAAGCTCCCTAGTCCTTCAGGCGAGGCTAAGACTGCCCGCCTGTTCCATGTGTAAGGAGTAGAGAATCCCCTGGCACATTGTTGCCTTAGTGCACCTGCATTCGCGAGATTCGTGAAGAAGGAGCACCTAGAAGAACAGGTCTTTGTAGCCTACGTTAGGCCAGTGACTGAGCCTAAGGAAGAAAAGCCCATAGGCCCTGCTATTTCCAAACTGCTGGAGGAGTTCAAAGATCTAGCTGAGCCGCCGACAGGAGTAGTACCGCGGCCCATCCAGCATCGCATCGAGATAGAGCCTGGCAGTAGAACTCCTAAGGGTGAGGTGTACAGGATGTCCTCGCGGGAGTTAGAGGAGCTTCGTAAGCAACTAGACGAGCTCCTTGAGAAAGGTTGGATTAGGTCCAGGTCATCTCCATTTGGAGCGCCTGTTCTCTTTGTCCCCAAGAAAGAGGGAGAGTTGAGGATGTGTATAGACTGTAGGGGCCTGAATGCTGTTACAGTGAAGAATGTTGAGCCACTGCCTAGGATAGACGATCTGTTGGATCGAGTGCAGGGGGCGAAGTACTTCTCAAAGATAGATTTGAAGTCCGGATATCATCAAATAGAGGTGCATCTTGATGATCAGTATAAGACAGTTTTCCGGACTAGATATGGGCACTACGAGTTCATAGTGATGCCCTTTGGACTAACCAATGCGCCAACGACGTTCCAGCGCTGTATGAACGCTTTGTTTAGGCCATGGTTAGATAGATCTGTTGTTGTCTACTTAGATGACATTTTAGTGTTTAGCAAGACCCTCCAAGCACATCAGGGTCATCTCAGGCAGGTCTTGGAGAAGTTGAGAGAAGCAAATTTCAAGATCAATGCAAAGAAGTGCGATTGGGCGAAGACCCAAGTCTTATATCTAGGCCACGTCTTAGACGGAGACGGCGTTAAGCCAGAGGACGGCAAAATCGCAGCGATTAGAGATTGGCCCACGCCGCGTACGCTGACAGAGTTGCGGTCATTCTTGGGCTTAGCTAACTACTATAGGAAGTTCGTGAGGAACTTCTCCATTATCGCTGCGCCCCTTCGCAGACTGCTCCGGAAGGAGGCCATCTGGAAGTGGGATAAGGACTGCACGTCTGCCATGAAGAAGTTGAAGCATGCATTAATAGAGTACCCAGTCCTTAAGGTAGTCGATCCGTCCTTGCCCTTTGTCGTTACTACGGACGCTAGTAAGTACGACATAGGTGCTGTGTTGCAGCCCATCCAGAGACGAACGGTCAGACGGAACAGATGAACAAGATCCTGCAGCAAGTCCTGCGCATGTACATTAGACCTGATCAAGTCAATTGGGATGAGATGCTTCCCAAGGTAGCCAGCGCATACAACAACAGCCTGCACTTGTCAACCTGCCGCACTCCCAATGAGCTCCATAAGTCCTTTAGACCACGAAGACCATTCGAGGGACTTAACCGGGATCAGATCCATAGGCTACCGCCCGGTACGAGGGAGTTTGCGATTCAGCACGAGAAGGAGATAGCAACTGTTGTCGAGAATCTCAGGAAGGCCCAGCACCGCATGATCGAACAGGCGAACAAGCATCGTCGCCCTTCACAGTTCCAAGTAGGCGACTTGGTCTGGGTCCAGCCTAAAGAGTTTGCGCCTGAAGAGAACATTTCGCAGAAGTTACTGCCTACGTATAGAGGACCGTGGCCGGTTCTAGAAGTCAAGGCCGGCAAAGATGGACCGTCCTATACCATAGAAACCCCAGCACACCTCCACACTTACCCAGTTTTCCACGCATCGAAGTTGCTACCTTGTCAAACAAGTGATCAGTTTCCATCCCGTAGGTCTATGATTCCACCAGATATGGATGGAAGGTATGACATCGATGGCATAGTGGCTGAAGATGTATTCAG